AAATACCCATTTAATACCCTGTTCAATCACCCTGTGTAATAATCCTGTTAAATAAGAGACTTATATATATATTTATGTGGAGGAATTGTATATACTGTATAAACCCCATGCACCTTTTCCTCCTTTTGACACCTTCTCCTTTTCAGTATCAATAAAGTCTATCAATCTATCAATCAATGAATCAATATGGATAAAAAGCTTAGGTGTACTGAGCTAAATTACGACAAGATGGTATAAAAGGAGAAACTCGTGTCCTGTTAATCTACTGGCAGCATGAAACTCTGTGGTAAAAGGACACATTTATTCTACTTTTGATCTCAAAATGCGTTTGCAATGTTCACACAATCAAAATTTGACTTTTAAAAGTTAACGAGAGATATTTTTTTGTGAAAAGTCCTCTTTTTGGGCTAATTTTAGTGATTGTGGGATCATAAAACCTGTCCGTTTGTGTTGAAAAATACACAGAGTCTCCCAAGAGAACAAGCATTCCTTTCTGCACTGCCGAACGCAGATGTGAGGTTTGTCTGACAACACCAGTGTATACACAACCCTAAATATACTCTGAGTAAGCAGGAAGGTTTCTCTGACCAAAACCCAGTCAAACATGATGATCTGAAGTCTGAAGTTGGTAAGGTCAGTCATGGGTGAAATTACACGTCTGAGCATCTCTCCTTCTGGTCCCGTTGGTTTCTGTTTCACTGTCTCTACCAAAAGAGAAGACGAGAAGGGAAGGGGAGAGAGATTTTCACAGATGGAAGGATTGAGCCTAAAAGTGTGAGAAGAGCCAGGTCAGAGGAAGTATTTCATCCAGACAAGGAAAAAGGATAAATCCGTGTTAAACCACTAGACTTTGGGCTAAAAGGGCAAGACAAACTCCTCTTGTCGCAGATTCCACCCACCTTTGCACCGTCACACAACTTAGAAAAACTAATCAACCTAGCATGCATAACTGAAGGCCGTGACGGGAAACTGGATCACCTGGAAAAAATCCATCCAGCAACAAACAAAGCATGCAAATTATAATCAGAAAGGTTCCAGTAAAGGTTTCCCTCAGGAACCTTTCTGTTGAAAGATGCTGCCAGGAAATAAGCAGGTTGGGATGTTTTTATAAGCTAAAATACTTTCAGCCTTTAAATGTGAACAAAGGGGAGGCAGATATGTGTTTACATGCAGTGCCATGGAAAACTATTCATACCTCTTTTAACCAAAAGAATCAAAACATGTAATTAAGATTTTAGATGACTTTGGTGAAGAAGCTACATCACCTAGGAACACATGGAGATGGGTAAAGCTGTAAAGAAGTTGAAAGCAGTATGCTGGTGAAGATTTTCAGTCATTCAGGTTATAGTTATTCCAAAAGAAATTTAAAAAACAATCCACTGGACTTTTTTTCCACCTTTGGAGATGTTTCGCTTCCCATCCAGGAAACCTTTTCAATTCAAAATGCCAGAACTAGCATTGGGTTCGAGGCTTTATAGAGTGGCCCAAAACAAGGCCTAATTTTGGCTTAGAAAACATGCAAATTGAACCTGAGGAACGGTCCCCGGGCTGCTCAGTGGCGCAGGGGGTAGCACTGCTGCCTTGCAGCAAGAAGGTTCTGGGTTTGATTTCTGGCACGGGGTCCTTCTGCATGGAGTTTGCATGTTCTCCCTGAGCATGCATGGGTTCTCTCCGGGTACTCCGGCTTCCTCCTACAGTCCAAAAACATGACTGTTTTGTTAATTGGCTTCTCTAAATTGTCCTTACATGTAGGTGTGAGTGTGTGCTTAAATTTGTCCTGTTTGTCTCTGTTGCCCTGCGATGGACTGCCGACCTGTCTAGGGTGAACCCCGCCTCTCGCCCGTAGACAGCTGGAGATAGGCACCCGCACCCCTCGCGACCTCACTTGGGATTTAGCATGTAAAGAAGATGGATTGATGGATGGATGGAACGGGTCCCCCCCTTAGAAATGGGGGGTATTTGTGTTCTTTTTTTATCCTGCAATACCTGATACTGGTCTATGTCTCTGAAAGGGGGTCGTTAGGGGGGAATTGTTGGCCTGGCTGGACAGGCGAGATGTTTAAAGCAGGAATTGGATGGAAAAAATATATCAAGCTTTTCCTAAGGAAAGATGCCTGGTGAAAAAGCATTAATAAAAAGAAAGCCTCATGGTGCCTCCTGAGGAGCTGAAGAGAACCACATTTGGCCACAAACCTGATCCCAAAGCTGAAAGAAAGAAGTACCATGTAGGAGACAAAAGAAGGGCCTCGGGTCACATGATATCTAAATTTAAAATGTTGAGTTGGGGTTTCAGGTTAACAGAAATCCAGAGAAAAAAAAACTAAATGAATCTGTAAAGCACAGAAGCTGAAGGTCTGTTTTCCAGCAGTATCTCCACCTTAACCTACAGCAAAGCTACAAAAGAATGGTTAATATCAAAGCAAACTCATGTCCTGTCAAAGCCCAGATCCAAATCAAGATGAGACCCCTGATAAGAACTGGAAATAGCTGTTCACAGACGCCCTCCATCCAACGGAGACCATCTGGACTGTTTTTTTAAAAAGAGAAATAGGCAGAAAGATTCAGTCTCCTGATGTACAAAGCTAGAGACTCTAAAGGACTCGCAGCTGTAGTTGCTTCAAACGGTGGTTTTAGAAAATGTCTACTCAGCAGGGCTGAATAATGATGACGAACACCAATCTTTCGAGATATTTATTCATACAAGACTTTAAAATAACATGGTTTTCCATCCACTTTTCAGTTGCTGTATAGTTGGAACTTATGAGCTAAGACTGTCTAGAACATAAAAGATAAATAAAATGCATTGAGGTCTAAGGTTCTAACTTCAAATATTCTATCCATTTGCTCATCCATCCACTATGGAACAAATTTCAGTATATTTTTCTGAGAAGATATTATTAAAAGGAGGGAAATGTTCTCTGCTAAAAGATTTTCTAACAAAATGAATCTTTTAGCATCAATCAAGTGCCTATTTATTTACCTAATTTCCCTTTTCATTAATAACTTATGACTAATTACTTTAGGCCAGCTTTAGACAACTTTTATTAGATTGACTGCTGTATGTTTGCACCATATATGTTTAATGCTCTGCACCTCTGTATCGATGCGGTTTTCCAACAGTTTTTTTTTTCTTTCTTCTCTCACACTGTTTACATTTGATCACTGCTGCACTTTATGGAACGGAAATGTTCTTAAAGCTGCACAAAACAGAATTTCGTTTTGTTTACACTCTGTGTATGCGAAATGACAATAAAAGCTGTCTAAGTTGAAGTCTAAATTAAAATTGGATTCATCTTGTTCCTCTTTACTGTTTCTCTTCATCCTGGTTATCATTTCCCTTTAGACCTCGGTGTTGGATCTGAAAGAAAAGGCCTCCTCACTTGCATCCTCAACTCTAAAGAAGGAAAACAGGCTGAAGAATCTAGAAATCAATCTGGAACAGAAGAAGGAAGAGTGCATCAAACTGGAGAACCAGCTCAAAAAGGTTGGTGGATTCTGGCCTGTGGATGAAAGGAGATAGTTATGTTTTCATTCCTAATATTTCCTTGTCTTATAGAAAGAGAGGGAAATGAAAATACATTTGTATGTGTGTGTTTGCGCTTGCTTGTGTATCAGATGTCTTCTCCCTCACAGTAGAGAAGTGTGTGTATGTGTGACAGCCTGCTGACAGCCTTACAGTCATTTTCACAGGCTCGGGAAGACATCACCACCATGACACCCTGAGTGTGTTTGGCTGTGTGTGTGTTAACATGTGAAAAAATGTGAGAAACAGAGAAAAGAAGAATATGTACGAACATGTCTGTGCATCTGTAGCGTTTCCCCTCGCCAGCCTTTATTTTTAGTCTCTTTCCTTTTCCCCACAATGGATGGAGGGAAGATGCGAGACTTTCCGCCGTATTTCTTTACTTCACCAAGTTCCTCGTATATCGTGAGCCACCCAAACATTTCCTCTCCACATAAGGAGCTGTTAAAATTGCCGTCCATTTCCAAAACTAATAGGGGTTTATGTATTGTGGGACCAGGGCGCACGCACATAGACGCACACACACACTCCGCGTCAATCTGTCCCAAGAGCAACATTTACTTCTGGGAAAACACACAGCTGTTCTAACCTCTAAGCTGGTTTTAACCTGTTATATTTTTCTTTTATCTATTTTTTCTTCTGCAACCAATTTGTTCCATCATTACAGCTGAGTTAAAAAGAAAAAAAAAGATAAAAACCACTTGAATTGACTGTAATTTGCCCCTTGGAGTTCAGAAATATGATGTCCATGACAATTAAAATAAAAACAAGAAGCTTCAGCTTTGATGTTTAAACTTAGCTCAACTAGACACGAACAATATTTCAGACTAAATTACAGTTATTGGCTATGAAGAGACATAAAAAAAAATGTTTTAGTAACAAAATGAATCATTTAGCATCAATCAATCCCTATTTATTTACCTAACTTTTCAATAATATATTATGTCTAATTACTGTAGGTCAGCTTTAAAATGTGAAGATAAATTAATATACCATAAGACATGATGATTTTAACCTATCAGGAAATGCCTGCAGTAGAACTTTGCACTGGCATACACGTTCGCATATCTTTAGTGACACTAAAAAATGCTAAACAATATACTTTAAATCTATAAACGGAATGACTTAATTGCTTTTCCTGAACCATAGTGAAGACTTTCCCCATGCAAATGTGATGATTTATGACCGCGTCCCAGTCAAACATTTACACAACCCTGAGCCTCAGCTGTGTTTATGTGCTTATTAACACATTTTTATAAGCGAACATGAAAAAAACTGGGAATGTGAAATGAACCAAGAACATGGTGACTTCTGACTGCACCAACAGTGGAGGTGGAATTTTCACATTAAACTGGAAGTGAGAAAAGGGGGGGAGGAAGCATCCGATATCCAAAAAATAAAATATGTGGCATCAGTGACAAAAAGTATACTTGGAGGAGTTTAGGTTCTAACTTGAAGGGCCTCTCCCAATAGCATGGTAGAGGCTGCGTCATGCTAAGGGTCATCAGCTTGTATGAATCTAAGATTGTTCAAAATAAAGGAATTTAGGGCTGAAAAATTAATCTGATTAATTTTGAATAATCATTTATTAATTGAGTAATCAATTAATTGTTAACTGGAAGACATAGATTTTAAAACGCGCTTTTAGCTGATAAAGCAACCCACCTTGAGTGGCAGTAATACCAAAATTGTAAAAAAGATTTAAAAAAAGTTTTTTGTCAATATGCTCTATCCAGAAATCCTTAAATGGAAAAGTTTTAGTTTCACCTGGTTTGATTTAGTAAAAAAATATTTTTTAAGGAACCTTTGGCTATCCGATTATTAATCAATAAAACAAAAAAAAAAATCAACAGATTAATCAATTTGCAAAATAATCATTAGTTGTAGCTCTATAGGAATTTCTTTATATGAAGGTTCAAATATAAAGTGTCTTTAGAGCTGCGTTTTAATTTTGTGGCTCCATTAGTCCCCTGAGGATGTATCTGTTTCACCTCCCAGCTCTCACATTGGGCCAAGCACATTTATTCTGGGTCGAGTATTGTTTTGATCAAACGGTGGTCCGCTCATTTTGAAAGCCAATGCTTGGTTTATTTTTAATAATAATTTTCTGTTCCAGGCTCAAAGTGCAGCGGCAGAGTCCCAGGCCAACACTGAACTTACTGAACGCATCTCGTCCCTGGAGCAGGAAGTGACCCGGTGCAGAGAGGAGGCTGGGAAGGCACAGTCGGAGGTGGAGCGACTTCTGGAGATCCTTAGGGAGATGGAGAATGAAAAGAACGACAAGGAGAAAAAGATCCATGAGTTGGAGAGGTGAGAGAGAAGAATTCGATTTGTTAGGGAAACAAAATCAACCATTTCTAACTCTTTCCTGATTTTTTTCCTTCTTATTTCAGCATAAAAGTAAGAAGGAAAAACTGAGTAATTAAAACAAAACGACTTTAATTTCCGTTCGCTCCTCGTCTGCTTAGTTTTAAACAACATAATGCTGAAGTTGATGGAACTCTCTGGTATAAATGACACGTTATTTATCACTGTATTATTTTCCCCCTCCCCTTCTTCTGCTTTCCTTTACATGTCAACTCTTTTCCTCATGTATGCGTGTGTGTTCAAACTTACACTCATTTATGTTTGAACTGGGATGAGTGCGTTTATGTTTGCCTGTATGACTCATAACATCTCAGAAATCCTTCAGCTTCTCATCTGTGGCGCTCGCAAAAACAGGCCCCTCCCCCGGCTGCCTCTCAGCAGCCAATGGGGGGGCTGGTGTGGGACTACTTGGGCACGTGAGTGGCTGGTGGCCCCTTTCGGTTAACTCGAGACCACTGCACGATAAGGGCACGATTATTACAACCACCCATGTGGAAAAGTCCTTGAGAAGCTGCTGCTTGATAACAGGATGCTGTTTAAAGTATCATAACCACAAGCTGGGATCCTACAGAGCCTTGCAAAAGCGCTGATCATTTTTAACAAGGTTTCTCATATGACAATCACACACATCTGTGTTTTTTTTATTAATGTAGAAAACAAAATGCATCAGTGAAAAAGCAAAGCATGCCTAGTTTTGTGTGTTGGAGGTCCATTTGTATTCAGCCTTTCTTCAAAGTAAAGTCTTTACCAGCTTTGCGTTGTGACCTCTGCAGACAAATTTTTGCCTGTCTATAAAAAATTAAATTGCCAAAATGTGCAAAGATTTAAGGGATGTAACTATTTTTGCAAGCCGTAGGTAATGTACCTGTAAGGTCCTTATTTGGCTCCATTTTGCACAATTAACAGTAGACTCGACCAAGGTTAAAACAGCAGTAATATCTTTGGTTGTGTAAACTTTCAGAATTTAAGCTTAAGGTGACATATTTGTCTTTTCCACATGGGCCGGGCTGAGTACGTATGCTCACTAATAATCACCAACAAAGAGTTGTGGCATTGGCTCATTACTCACAAATCACACTTTATTGCACATTTGGACAGCTCCGTCTCTGGAATCCAGAAATTGTGCTCACTTGTACGCTGACACACACTCCACATTAGCAGAGTTTGGGTCGTCTGTTGCTGCGGCATGACAAGCCAAACAGCTTTGTAAAATGAGGCGCTGCTGTTGCTGCCCGGCCTGGCGCTCTCTGAGCCTCTGTTCCTGTCAATGATGCAACTCTTTTTATTAAGTTTGCGGTTCTGTTCTCTGGCTTCACTTTTGCTTAACTTTCAGCAGAGGATGCTTGACTTTAAACTTTTAACTCACCTTTTTTTTTTTTTTTTATCTTGTATTAGGAATGTAAAGGTTAACTAATATTATGTGTTTCTAACCTCTTTTCAATTATCTATTTCATTTTGGATCACTCACCTCTCTGTCTTCCACAAAACCTTATGTTTACCTTTTAAATTATCTTTATCTGTCAGATCGTCTGCCTGTTTCCTCTGCATGCTGTTCGAACTCTTGTACATGTCTCTTACTAGGGCTAGGCAATAAAACAATGTCAATATATGTCACAATAGACATTTGAATTATTGTCACTATATAATTTGAATTCTGACAAAACTGCACTGCATTCTGGGTAATATAACCTGAGAAAAGCTTTGCCGTCAAGTTAAGCACGGTTAATGGAGGGTTGAACTCTTTTTAAAGGTTTAAATAGGGTTTGGATTGCAATTTAAGTTCTAGCTTTTTTTTCCCTCCAATGAGTAAAACAAAAAATATTTAATAATTATAGATATCGACTGATAAACATGCTGGTTGTTTTGAGCTTTTTTTTTTTTGTTCCAACAAAAGACTACAGCAAACCTTGGGGCAGCAAACTTTCAAAGAATAAAAGAAGGCAGACACACTCTGATTTAATTCACTTTTTTTTTAGTACTTTTAGAAGTGCTGTGGGTTTATTCTGCAGATTGGGACTGAGGAAAAGGCAATTCTCTGAAAACAATTGTGTTTGTCTAACTAAAGTGAATTTAATCAGTGAGTTTAAGCCCCCTGCTTAGTCCCTGGGAAGTATAATTTGCTGTGTATGGGAGTCATCCAGAATCAAAAACTATTGTGACAATTTCAACACCCTCTAATTTAACAGACAGATTTATTAAAAGTTTTTGAAAATATAGTTTGTTTAACCTACAAGAAACTGCCTTTAAAAAAAGTAGTTTTTATTTCTGCCTCCGCTGCCTAATCCTGTAGCTAAAATAATCTAGATGTCATTAGATAAAATTATGATAGATTATGATAGATTAGATAAAATTATGCAATCTACAACATCCAGAAAAGGCTTCAGGATTAACAAGTCTGGAAAAATATAGCTTTTTCCGATTTCAAGGTTAGAATTAGTTTAAAAATGAAAGGAATTCAGATCCAGACTGGGAAAATACAGAAAATTAATAAAAACTATATTCTTTTTTTAGCTATTATTATATGCTACCATTTGTATTTGGTTTGCCACATCAAACATTAAGATTGATGTATTTTGGCAAACTGTATTTACTTAAAAAGAAAACTCAAACAAAAGTTTTCATACCTTTCAACTCTTCGTATGTCAGGGATGGATTTTATTTGGATTTAAGGGTTAAAACACAAAATTAATAGTTTAATGGAAAAAATTGTTTTATTTATTCAGCCTTTGTGAGACATTATTTGTTGAATCAGCTTTAACTGCAATTCCAGCTATAGGCTATTTATGGGATCAGGGTGTTTTTTTATACTCTAATAATCCCAGAGGGAAATTACATCTCTGCATTTAACCCATCCCCTTGGGAAGCAGTGGGCTGCCATTGTGCGGCACCCGGGGAGCATTGTGGGGTTAAGGGTCTTGCTCAGGGTCAGATTAAATGGGAGAGTCTTAAAATTAAATTATTAGTCCTGCAATATACTCTATATTGAAATTAGTTCTGGACTAGATTTAACTAAACGATCTCCATTCCTCTCCAATGTCATCATGAGCAGCATCATCATCTTAGCTGAAGAAAAGCTTCCCCATAGCATGATGCTTCCATTACCATGTGTCATTGTGGGGAATTTTCTTTTCAAAATCTCTCATGTGAATCCCGGATCGCTGCTGCTTCTCCAGTTACTATTGACCTTTAGGGTGCTCAGTAAGATGTTAAAATCTTGTGATATTGTTTTATAGTCAAATCCTGGCTGGAACATATCCTCAACTTTATCTATGACCTGTATGGTGTGCTCCAGGATGTTACTTGTTCACATATGTTCTCCAATAAACCTCTGAGGCCTTTTCAGAACAACTGCACTTATATTTACATTAAATGGTAGACTCAGTGCTGTGATTTAATCACGGGAATATGTTGAGTAAAAAGTTCAGCTGTAGTTTAAACAAGAGAGCAACAGGAGTAGAAATCAGGCCTTTCTCCCCTCGTGTAAATCCAGCTGTACAGGTACCAGATTATTTATTTCAGGAACTGGGATGGTAATTGGAGCATTCTAAAGTGACTTCACACTGAGGGGAAATGGAGCTGAAAATCTGCCCCGATGGCCAAAATAAAGGATTTGGAAGGACGAGTGGAAAACAGAGAGAGGGAGAGCAGCAGGGGAAGTGAAAGGAAGGTGGTAGAGGAAGAAAAACAGTAAGAATGTCATTTATTAATGGGTGGAGATGTAAGAAAACCTGACAGGGTTGGGAGAGATTTGTGCCTATAAACCCAACTAATGAGAAATTCACAGATTTTATAGCTGTATTGTTCTTTTATGGACAAATTTGTCTCTTACACTTTGTCATTAGCATGTTCTAGACTATAAAACTATGTTGGGATTAGGGCTGTGCCAACTTTAGCATGTGAACCATTTTGTGGAGACTGGGAAAGTCCTTTTTTTTTTCTTTGTATTTTTGTATACTTTGAAAGTTGCATGAAATTTAGTGCTGAGTGCAGATCCACGGAGTGCATGCTGTCAGTGTGGGAAGTTTGGTTACTGGGCTAATCCATTCAAGAAATGATAATAATGAACTTGGACCATCTCATGCTTTGATTGGCTGATTTAAGGGAGCTTTATTGGTGAGGGAATGAGTTGAGGAAAGCATGACTCTTATTATTTAACATTCATTTACAAAGCAGAGCAAGAGGTGATCTTGGTGTCTGTCTGCCCTGTCATGTCCGTCTCCCTGCATAAATGTCTGTCAGCTGTCTCCCTTTGGTTAATTATGTTTCTCTAGCAGCTCTTCTGTCTTTCCTGTTCTTTGAAGATTGATCAAGCCAGCTAACCCAGAACTCAACCCTTCTTTCCCCTCTCTCACCTTTCTCTTTTCCTTCTCTCTGTCTTTCTTTTATCTTTACGATGCCACGTTGTCTGCTGCGCTACCCAGTCTTGCCTCAAGGTTAGTATTGCACGCCTATCTTTCTTCTTAAGCCCGTCTCCCTTCGTTTTTTCATCTCTCTCCTTCATTGTCATACTGCGTGTCCTTGCATGGAGACACTCTGTCACAAACTCTGCGTCTAATAATTCTCATCAAGTCTGTCTTTGTAGGAAACACCTTGACTTTCTCTTCACTTTCTGTCACATTGCTCCCTCTTTGAACAGGAAACATCATCGTTTCTTTCTTCCCCTCTGTGTTGTATAACATTTTTGCTGGTCTATTCACTTTACACGTGTCTTAACATTGACGCAAACAGTTTTAAAAAAAAATGTAAATGTAAGGTATCACAGAAAAAAAAATCTAAAACATTATAACTGATGAAATGTAATCAATTGTGGCCACTAAATTCTCGGACAGCTTTGTACTTTTATTTAGGTCTTTTTACCCATATTCTTTGTGGACGTTTTGTCTGTATTGAATATATTTCAGAATTTTGGTGTTTTTTTTAGTTCATTTTATCCCAATTTATTGCAGCAGATGCAGATTTGTGGCATGAAAAACTATAAAATAAATGTTGGTGATGATGCATTGTATTGGGATGAAGAGGGAAGACGTACAATGTCATTGTGTCATGACAGGGTTAGTACCTTTTGTTGTGACATAATTTTCTAATTATTATTTTATCAAAAACTTATTGATGAAAACAGTCTCAGACTAAAGATACTATAAGTGCCCCCAGGTATTAAAACTAACAGCTTAAATAGTCAGAAAATAAGGCCAACTCCTCTGCAGAGTTTGCCACCTTAAGCATAGAGTAAGCTGAGGTGAGTAAATCTTCCTGGGTGCATACAGGGGGTCTGCATGGCGTAGCATGTCATAAAGTAATATGATTATTCTTGATTTTTTTTATTTTTTTTTATTGCAGGTACAACATTATTTACCTTATCAAATGTGTTGATAGGCTGTTTATTATTGCAACTTTTTCCATGGATCTCTTAAACAGAAGTTCAACTAATACACAACAATATGAAGGCAAATACAAAATCTTCAAGCTAAGCCCCTTAATTTGCTTGAGAGGATATGGTCCACCCTTATATATACAACACTTAGAGTCCAGACACAGAAAGAACTGCTACATCTAGGTAACTTGTGGACAACTGTAGAACTATGGTGGTGGGTAATTAACATCTTTCTGGTACAATGGTGTATCAGTGTTCTAAAAAGTTGGATTTAAACAGATGTTCAGATTTAGGACTAAGAACAGGTGTTTTAAAAGAAGGGTGAAGGAAAACATCTTTGTTGAAAAAGAAGAGTCATCCCTGAACAGAGCAGGAACTTTGCGGATTCATTTCCCAAGTGATAGAAGTCTTACTTGGTACTTGTTCCAAAAACACAAGCAGTCACACAACAATCATGATTCAAACAGCCAAACCCAAAACAGATTTTAATGACAGGGAGAAAGACGGGGAGGGGGGACTTAGCATCTGACTTGGAACTGGATTAGAAGGATCGGCCTTCAAATTCTTCAAATCCAACTACAAATCGGTTTAGCGGAGCCACCAGCTTCAACACCACTAAAGGTGTTGAAACCATGTCAGAAAAACTGAGATTCTGGTTCTCTCCAATTTAAGCTTGTTTTGTGGTTTTAAACAGACTTTTGTTTCATCATATAAT